GTATTTACTTGTTCTTTAACAATTAAATCATCTTGTTTTAGGTCCTTCATTCAAAGTTCTTCATTTGTAAACATGATGGATGATCTTGTTTGGATGAGCTTGTTTATAAGCTCCTTTTAAAAGAGAAATATAAGAAGAAAATTGAAGTTAGTCTTTTCATAAACTAAAATTAATTTATGCATATATGTTACTTAGCAGAACCTTTATCATAGTTCCTCTAACTTCATATTTTTAACTCATGCATAAACTAAATTTAGCTTATAAAGAAGTCACATTCATTTTTCTATTCTAATTTCTCTTCCCTAAAATGGCCTATGGAGAAGCTCGTTCAAGCATCCCAACTTCTTTCCAAATATTGCAAAGTAGCACGTGGTGCAGCATCATATGTAGTAACTATTGAAAAAAATTCCAAACTATGCTTATTCTTACATTTGAAAGAGGAAGAGATTCCAAGAGAAAAATCAATGTGAGAAGGATCAGAGACATTCTCCGGCTAGTGCCTGGCCGGCTGCCGGCTGCTCCGGCGACGGACATTCGCCCCCTTCCTCGCCGTTCAAGAACTCTAACATTTTGCTTCTTTCACGCACTTGAACTTCTCAAAATCAAGTGGTAATAATATATTTCCCGAAAATTCGGACTCTCAGTAATAACAACTACAAACTTTATTTTTATTTATACTGTAAAATTTAATTGATCCTAAGTATAGCTTTAAAATTCGTTGATGAAGTCCTCCATTTATCATACTAATTAAATATTCTCACATTAAAGGCAAGCCATTGCCAAATGTGCCCCGTGACGCGTCATCGCGTTGGACCAATGAGATAATTAATCCAAGAAATTGTCGTTAAGAGTAAGAGATATGGAAATAGAATCCAACACCTTATCATACTTATATACAAATACTTATGATTTTTGTTTAAAATTCCTCAAATGATGAAATCTGTTTAAAAATAAAAACGTGAATAGACAACCTGATTTCATTAAAAAAAATATATGTAGTTTTGTTCGAAAGTAAAATAAAAGCAAAAGTAAAAGATTAGATTAATATAAATAAACGTATTAAAGTGTGAACGGTCCATTAAAGATTAAATTATGAGCAAGTTGCAATAAGAAAATGAAATTAATTCTATAAGCTTATCACGAATTTCGAACTGTATTGGGTTAGACCACATGCTGAAAGGACAAAGGCCACGTGCAATGCAAATACAATACGATATATTAAATCAAACGTTTTTTCAAATCAGATGCCTCTTTTTGACATTAAAGCAATTTTTGTTCAAAAGAGAAGAGAAAAGAAGACAAACACAGGGTGGCACTAGTTTAGATTGTGTTGTGTTTATCAAATCTGTCGTAAAAAATCGAAACATTTACTTTTTAATTTCTCGGCTAATTGATTTATTAATAAATAATTAAAATATTTACACAGAACAAGACTTAACCATGATTAGTGTATTCCATTATTTATATATGTATTTACAGAGTGTCGTCTGTGAATATTTTGGAAAATAGAAAAGCTATGGAGGAAGGTGATTCTGAATATTATAATGTTTCAGCGTAGAAACAAAAAAAAAACACGTAGTTGAAGTAAGAAACTTCATGGAAAACAAAGCTCAGAGCACCTAATTCAAAACTTCTAAAGACAACGTCACAATTCCAGCCTCGGTTTCCTCCAGCAGAGAAAAATAGCATTACTTAAACAAAAATTAACAAACAAACAAATCTCTTCATGATTCCCCTCCAATGCAACAACATGGGTGGTTACTCCGCCGCCATCGCCGTCATCACCACCATCCTCTTCTTGTTCCCGCCGCCGACTTCTCAGGCCCAGATTCTCAACACAGAAGCTCACGTTTTCGGCCCCTTCAACCAATCATACTTCAACACGTTCGCGGTGTTGCCCAGCGCCGCCATCAACCTTGAAGCGCTCCAAGTAACACCAGACAGCACAGGCAACGTGTCCCTGACCAACCGCTCCGGCAGAATCTTCTTCAACAAACCCTTCACTCTCTGGAACGACCAAGATAGCCTCGACGAAAAGCCCGTGTCTTTCAACACTTCCTTTCTGATAAACGTATACCGTCCCAAAAACGAAACTCCCGGCGAGGGCATCACCTTCTTCATCGCCCCTTCTACCTCCGCCCCCCCTCCCAACAGCTACGGCCAGTTTCTCGGCCTCACAAACGCCTCCAACGATGGCAACCGCACCAACCAAATCCTCGCCGTCGAACTTGACACCGTGAAGCAGGACTTTGACCCCGACGACAACCATCTCGGCCTGGACGTTAACGGCGTGAGGTCCAACGTCACTGTGTCTCTCACTCCCTTGGGGTTCGAGATCGTGCCCAACGTCACGCGCTTCCACGTGCTGTGGGTGGAGTATGACGGTGACCGGAAGGTGATCGACGTGTACATCGCGGAGCAGCCTGATAAGGATGCACCCATAGTGCCGAAACCGGCTAAGCCGGTGTTGAGTTCAGGTATCGATCTGAAACAAGTGGTGAACAGGGTTTCTTATTTTGGGTTCTCTGCTTCGACCGGTAACAACGTTGAACTAAACTGCGTGCTGAGGTGGAACATTTCTATTGAAGTTTTTCCCAAAAAAAAGGGGATCGGAAATGCGTTGAAGATTGGGTTGGGTGTCGGAGTGCCTGTGGTCGTTCTTCTTGTAGCCGGTGTCGTAGGGTGGGTTTATTGGTTGTGGAGAAAGCAGAGAGAAAGCGAGACTCAGATTTTGGGAACTCTCAAGAGTTTACCTGGAACTCCCAGAGAATTTAGGTATCAAGAATTGAAGAAAGCCACTAATAATTTCGATGAGAAGCACAAGCTTGGACAAGGTGGATACGGCGTCGTATACAGAGGAACACTTCCGAAAGAGAAGTTGGAAGTAGCCGTCAAAATGTTCTCCAGAGATAAGATGAAAAGCACAGATGATTTCTTGTCTGAACTCACCATCATCAATCGCCTTCGTCACAAAAACCTTGTTCGCTTACTCGGTCAGTCAGTTTAATTAATTTTTCGTTATTATTGTTTCTTTAGATTGATTCAATTATCACTTCCACGAACATAAATTCCAGTTATTACTGTTAGGATTTAGGATCTAGATCCGACAGTGGTTCTGTTCTGTCCAGATCATCATGGTAGGAGCCAAGCAATAATTGCTAAAATTCTGTCTGACACGTCTTCGCTGGCAACGTTGACCAGCTATGGCGACAGTTGTTGGCGTCCCAACCTAATTCGCTCCATCTTTGTGCATTCATGCATTCAACGTGGTTGCACAAAGCCGAAGAACACTACCCGAATCGAAAAGTATCCTCCACTTAGGGTATTTTTGTTGGAGTGTTTCATCATTTTATTTTCGATAGCGACCTTAATTGATATACCTTCTGTCCTTAGTCAACATTAACAGCTCTGAGTAGAGTGATGTTCTTTCTCTGTCCTTTGGTCCCATCCAAAGATGATGATTCATTGAAGGTTTCTTCACCCTATCCAAAAGTGCCCACGTAATTTTCATTTCTTCTGTAACAAACCTAATCTTATTCCAAGGTCAACTGAAATTTACTATCTTATATAACTCAAGCGGAAGTCATAAAAAATTAACCACCCAGCCGGCCTAAACTCTTTAAGAATAATATAAGAGCGCAAGTCATTATCCAAATCGTTTACCTTTTCTTACAAGCATTTCCGACTGATGTAATACAAATCAAACAAGACTCTGTCCTTGTGATCTTATTATAATTTATGTAATGTTCTGTATAAGCATCTGACTCAAAATTTAATATTTAAAAAAAAAACGCAGGGTGGTGCCACAGAAATGGGGTGTTGCTGTTAGTGTACGATTACATGCCTAATGGAAGCTTGGACAACCACATTTTCCGTGAGGAGGGGAGCAACACTACGGCACTGAGTTGGCCTTTGAGGTACAAGATCATAGCAGGGGTGGCTTCTGCATTGAACTACCTGCACAACGAGTATGATCAGAAAGTGGTCCACAGAGACCTTAAGGCCAGCAACATCATGCTGGACTCAGACTTCAATGCTCGTTTAGGTGACTTCGGCTTGGCTCGTGCGTTGGAGAATGATAAAACATCGTATGCAGAGTTGGAAGGAGTGCATGGCACCATGGGGTACATTGCACCTGAGTGCTTCCACACTGGGAGGGCCACAAGGGAATCTGATGTTTATGGGTTTGGAGCAGTGGTCCTTGAGGTTGTGTGTGGCCAAAGGCCATGGACCAAGAATGAGGGGTATGAGTGCTTGGTGGATTGGGTATGGCACCTGCATCGTGAGCAAAGGATACTTGATGCAGTGGATCCAAGACTTGGGAATGACTGTGTGGCTGAAGAGGCAGAGAGGATTCTGAAACTAGGACTAGCATGCTCTCACCCCATTGCCAGTGAAAGACCAAAGATGCAAACAATTGTTCAGATCATATCTGGTTCTGTGCCTGTGCCTCATGTTCCACCTTTCAAACCATCTTTTGTGTGGCCAGCTATGGATCTATCAAGCCTTGCAAGTGACCTCACACAAACCACAACAACCGAGTACACACCCATGACAACAACCGAGTACACACCCATGAACAGTACCACACATTCTTTGCATGTTGATTTCTCAGACAGTGGCTCTCTTGTCTAAAACACCATATATGCATGCATTCCAATTCCATCCCCTCTTTCAAGACAACCTTTTCCCTTTGGTTTTTCGTGATCTGTTTGTTCGTCAGCCCTTCCCCTTAGTTAACTTCTCCTCCTAAAGGAAGCAAAATTTCCTCAGACTTTTCCCTTTTTTAATCTTAATTTGATTTGATTTTTCAGTGATCAAGTATAGATTCTCTTGTAATTTCTAATTTTGATTGGAAAGGAATGAAATCAGAGTTTGTAAATTTTGGTGAAATAATACATATTCTGTATGTTCTTTTCTTTTTCATTCTTATATAATACATATTCAACTATTGCTAAACATAAGCAAAAACTCACCAAATTATTATTTTACAACAACATTCACACAAAGTCAAGAGTCAATATCCATAAACACCAGGTATCAGTTGGTGTACAGAATATCCATAAACACCAGGTATCAGTTACTGAAAACATGACTCCTTTCAATTATTCCTTAATCATAGTTCCAGTGTCTAGGCCAATCGGAACAGTTCTAGGGCTTCTTTAGTGGGAATCTTCTTACTAACTTTGAGATTCCTATAATCTTCATAAACAAAAGGTTGATAAAAACGGGAGTGATCATGGTTCACCAATTCCTCTGGGGCCTCAACATTCCTGTTCTTGGGTCCTAAGATTAACGTAGCAATTGAAAGACGTTTGTTCCCTTCCTTGCATTGCACACGATGTGTCACATTGCAAAACCTCCCATTGCTCCACACCTGCATATATGCATACATTTATTTATATTAATTCCAACTGCATGGTCACAGTTTATCAGCAATACCAGCATAAGTACATTTGCTTTTATAGTTTCACGCAAGGGGATTCCTTCTCTTCCATATCTTTAAATAACCTGCTTTGTGATCTCTCTCTAATACCATGAAATTTCTCTTTAAATAACTTATTTTCAAACTCTGAATAGATATAATATCCTATTAAGTGGATATTACTCAGACAAAGAATCTACAGTATCAGCAATATCATAAGTTATTTTTTTGTCAGAGATTTTATATATATGACACGAGTCTTATCTCACATAAGTATTTAATACAACTTTTAACTCAAAATTTGAAGACAATGAATTTCTTTTATACATATAACAAGTTCTGCAATAAAGAACAAATTTTCTTTTGTGCAACTGAAGGTTCAGAGTTTAATTGATGATTTGTGTATACTTACACGAGCAATGTCTCCAAGATTGACAAGAAAAGTCCCAGGGAAAAGAGGGATTGGCACAAAGGAGGAAGAAGAGTCCATGACTTCAAGACCACCAACATTTTCATCATCTTTAAGAACAGATAGGAAGCTTGAATCTGTGTGTATTTGAACTCCTGGGGACCCTATTGTTTCTGCTGTGAAGTTATATTTGTTAAATCTAAACTCGTAGAGCCAGTCCTCGAAATCAGCACCTTCAACTACACCAAGAGATTCAGCCATCTTTTGTCCTATTTTTACTGCCAAACCATGAACAGCTTGCCCATATGCCTCCATTATTTGCCTAGGAGGAGCAAGATATTATCAACAACACTTCACACTTTACAAGACTCTCAATTAAATGTAAAACCATTATTAACCTCTACATTGAAAGTGCTGAAATTTTCCAAAAAAGAAAAGGATAACAGAAATTGGTTCCAAGAAAGAGAGAGATGAAGAAAGAAAACAAACCTTTGTTGAGGAGAGACATGAAGCTGAGAACAGAAATTGTGCATAGATTGTGATGAAGAAATGTCATAGATTCCTATAGCCTCGTATAAGGGGCTGAGTGGAGTTGGTCCGACGTAACCACCACCAGCAATGGCTTCTGTGTTGCGTTTCTTGGTCTCAAAAGGAAGATCATGCAGAGCTTCAACCACCTTCTTCATGTCAGCCACTAGGGTTGGAGGAATAGAGTGATTGATGATCCTGAAAGAACCCCATTTTTCACATGCTTCTCTTAGTTTCTTTAACTCTTCTTCCTCACCAATTTTCTGCACATCAATCACTACTGGGAACTTCTCCGCCATAGGTAGAGACAACACTTTGCACGCTTACACACATATATTCACACCTTTATATAGATATTTTTAGTTAATTTTCTTTTGTAATAGATTTTTTTCTTATATTTCATAATTTTCGTGGTAGTTATTATGTTATTTTTCCTACTAGTTTCTTTGTAGTAGTTCATATTCTTCGTGGTAGGGGCCATATCTGCATGTGTATTGTTTGTTTTCTATAAAGGTAAAGGGTGGGTTAGGGTCTGTCTTTTTCCTTTCTACATAATAGAAGGGATAAAATAATTATAAAAAGAAAAAAACTTTTGTATTTGTAAAAACAAAGTGTAATAAAGGGTAATATCTGATGGATATAATAATTTGTTAGTTGTAAAAACATTTTTGTTTTCTTTTATACTCATATTCTTCTTTCTTTTGAAGCAATTTATGTTGAAACTTTTTTCACTTATATTCCTACAGTTGAATACGGACATCCCGAATGTTTTTTGAGTTTTTTCTTGTAAGTTTTGAGAGAGAGAGAAAAAATGATTTTTTTTTCATAAAATTGAAAATAAAAATCTATAAAATCTATATTAGAAACTTTCGATAAATTAGTTTATAGAAAAATTTAGTTTGTAAATTATTATGGAAACATACTAGATATCTATTATGAAAGAGAAAATTAAGGTAGATGAAAATAAGTATGAGAAATAAAGTGAAAATTACCAATATTTAAATAAAAAAAAGATAAAAAATATCAAATATATGTGAAAATAATATTAAATTTCGTCATTTAAAAAAAAATCTTCTAAACATTTTAACTTATTTTCATCTGCCATTATTCTTTTTAATTCTTACACGCCACCATGTACATCATAAACATGAATTTTTTTCTCAAACTATCCAAATAAACATATACCAACATTAATTCTCAAACTAAACTCTCTTTTTTTCACACATTGAGAATTCTGTTAGAAAAGTTAAATTTTAGTGTTCTGATGACCAAATTCTCAACATATTAACTCCTGTGAAAAGAGAAAAAAATTAACCAACGGAATTCTAGTGGGAATTTTTAAAACAAAAAAGTATTTTTTGAAACTGAGAAAAGAAAGGAAGTGGACACTCTGCCGAATTATCAACGTAAAAGTAACCTATCTAATTTAGAAATGAGGGTGGAAATAAATTTATTTGGGTAAAAAATTTAAATGGATTTATTTTAGAAAAATAAAATCACACAAATATAGACATTTATTCGTACATGATGAATTGAAATGTTGGTATTTGAGGGATCCAAGTACAATTATTTTGGGCTTGGGGCTAATCTAGCTAGCCACAATCATGAATGTGTTGTGCCCATTTGGTGCAATTTGCAGAAAATGTTGTAGCAAATTTAATTTCAAATCATGAAAGCCATGTGTTCAAAATAGTGTTAATTTTACGCCTACTTTCACTTGGGGAGTCAGCAAAAATATTGGGGTGTAAAATTTTAAAAAAGTATATTTGTATATGATTTATTAATTTTTCAAAAAAATTCGAATATATATTTTGGAGAGATCCACTGCAGTAAAACCTCTTCTTTTACAAATATATTTAACTGTTAATATGTGTTAACTATGAAAATGGAACCCAAAATAAAAAATGAATAATTTTATCAATATATGAGATGAAACCAATTCCAACCCACAACACAACCTATCACTCTATGATTAGCATGTTGAAATGGAAAGTGTTCCCTTTTTCAATAGACTAATGATAGGTTCAGACGTCACATTCATTTAACCCTTATTATAAAAATAAAATAATCATTAAAAAAAGTTTTACATTTAAAAATATAAAAAGTAAAAAATAATATCAAAAGAGTGTATAAAAATTTCATTAATCTTTTTCACTCATCACACAAAACTCCAAAGGAATCCCTTCTGTCTTCCAATAGCCACATCACTTTCTTCTTTAAATTAAACAACCTCGTTTGTCAAAAATAAAAGCATCTATCTTCTTTTATGCTACATCCTACCTAACCTTGTAATCAAAGTTTTATTCCTCTTTCCCTACTTTCCTTTTCTAATCATATCTATATTAAAAAGAAAATAAGTATTTAAATAATGATATGTTAATATAAATTATTATATGTATCATTTTTTAATAAATTTAAAATATATCAACACAATAACAAATAAAAAATAACAAATAAAAAATAACACATAAAAAATAACACATATATTATATCAAAATATTATAAAAAATGTCAAAAAATATATTTTTAACTACTTATATTTCATCTTATACATCACCTATAAGAGTAAAAGTGTTAAAACTCTCACATCACATTAAATTTCAGGTTAAAATAACGAACAAGGTTTGAAACAAATAGTTATGAAGATTTCTATGAAAGTTCTATGGAGTTATTAGGAGTGAGTAACTTTGTTTAAATATGAGCATTTGGCCCAGTTGACAAACAGATACATAAATTTCTGAAAAGTGTGGCATCTTCCTGTTAACTCTGAGCCTTCAAACAAACAATCCTAGGTAGTTCCTATTATGACAAGGACAAACGCAACAACTCCAAGACTTCACCAATGTACATCTTGTTGGTAAATCTGAGCTTCCTATAATCTTCGTAAATAAAAGGTCGATATAAACGAGGATGATCGTGGTTCACCAATTCCTCTGGGGCCTCAACATTCCTATTCCTTGGTGCCAACATAAACGTAGCAATCGAAAAACGTTTGTTGGCTTCCTTGCATTGGACACGGTGTATCAAATTGCAAAACCTTCCATTGCTCCACACCTGCATATGCATAACAATTGCATGCTCAACTTCATGCGTAATAAGGGTCAGAGAAGAGTCTATTTTCTGTTTGGTTGGTGTTATTAACATACACGAGCAATGTCTCCAAGATTGACTAAGAGAGTCCCAGGGAAAGGAGGGACTGGCACGAATAATGAAGCAGAAGGGTCCAACACTTCAAGACCACCAACTTTTTCATCATCTTGAAGAATGGTTAAGAAGCCTGAATCTATATGTGTTTCAACTCCAGTGGACCCTACCGCTTCTGGGGTGAAGTTATATTTGTTTATTCTAAACTCGCATGACCAATCCTTGAAATCGTCAACCACTATGCCCAGTGATTCAGCCATCTTTTCTCCTATCTTCACTGCCAAACCATGAGTTGCCTCCCCATATCTCTCCATGATTTTCCTGTCAAAATCAATAATTCACGTTTCAAGAAAAAAGCCGATGTGAAATTCTCCCTACCAAAGATAACAGAATGTGCTTACTTTCAACATTAAACCTATCTCGATCTAAAGCAGTGAATAATAAAGAAAAAAGAAAGGAAGAAATGAAAGAAAAGTAACCTGTGTTGGGGAGAAGCGTGAAGTTGAGAGCAGAAATTGTGCATAGCTTGTGAAGAACCCAAATCATAGAGACATAGGGACTCGTAGAAAGGGTTGAGTGCAGTTGGAGCCATATGACCACTGCCTGCAATGACATCTGTGTTGCGTTTTTTGATCTCGAGAGGAAGATCAAGCAAAGCTTCATTCACTTTCTTCATCTCAGCCATGAGGGTTTCTGAAATAGAGTGGTTGACGATCCTGAAACAACCCCATCTTTCACATGCTTCTCTTAGTTTCTTTAACTCTTCTTCCTCACAAATTTTCTCCATATCAATCACTACTGGGAACTTCTCCGCCATAGCTAGGGACAACACTTGCACACTTACACACATATATTTATATAGATATTTTTTGTTAATTTTTTTTNTTTAAATAACTTATTTTCAAACTCTGAATAGATATAATATCCTATTAAGTGGATATTACTCAGACAAAGAATCTACAGTATCAGCAATATCATAAGTTATTTTTTTGTCAGAGATTTTATATATATGACACGAGTCTTATCTCACATAAGTATTTAATACAACTTTTAACTCAAAATTTGAAGACAATGAATTTCTTTTATACATATAACAAGTTCTGCAATAAAGAACAAATTTTCTTTTGTGCAACTGAAGGTTCAGAGTTTAATTGATGATTTGTGTATACTTACACGAGCAATGTCTCCAAGATTGACAAGAAAAGTCCCAGGGAAAAGAGGGATTGGCACAAAGGAGGAAGAAGAGTCCATGACTTCAAGACCACCAACATTTTCATCATCTTTAAGAACAGATAGGAAGCTTGAATCTGTGTGTATTTGAACTCCTGGGGACCCTATTGTTTCTGCTGTGAAGTTATATTTGTTAAATCTAAACTCGTAGAGCCAGTCCTCGAAATCAGCACCTTCAACTACACCAAGAGATTCAGCCATCTTTTGTCCTATTTTTACTGCCAAACCATGAACAGCTTGCCCATATGCCTCCATTATTTGCCTAGGAGGAGCAAGATATTATCAACAACACTTCACACTTTACAAGACTCTCAATTAAATGTAAAACCATTATTAACCTCTACATTGAAAGTGCTGAAATTTTCCAAAAAAGAAAAGGATAACAGAAATTGGTTCCAAGAAAGAGAGAGATGAAGAAAGAAAACAAACCTTTGTTGAGGAGAGACATGAAGCTGAGAACAGAAATTGTGCATAGATTGTGATGAAGAAATGTCATAGATTCCTATAGCCTCGTATAAGGGGCTGAGTGGAGTTGGTCCGACGTAACCACCACCAGCAATGGCTTCTGTGTTGCGTTTCTTGGTCTCAAAAGGAAGATCATGCAGAGCTTCAACCACCTTCTTCATGTCAGCCACTAGGGTTGGAGGAATAGAGTGATTGATGATCCTGAAAGAACCCCATTTTTCACATGCTTCTCTTAGTTTCTTTAACTCTTCTTCCTCACCAATTTTCTGCACATCAATCACTACTGGGAACTTCTCCGCCATAGGTAGAGACAACACTTTGCACGCTTACACACATATATTCACACCTTTATATAGATATTTTTAGTTAATTTTCTTTTGTAATAGATTTTTTTCTTATATTTCATAATTTTCGTGGTAGTTATTATGTTATTTTTCCTACTAGTTTCTTTGTAGTAGTTCATATTCTTCGTGGTAGGGGCCATATCTGCATGTGTATTGTTTGTTTTCTATAAAGGTAAAGGGTGGGTTAGGGTCTGTCTTTTTCCTTTCTACATAATAGAAGGGATAAAATAATTATAAAAAGAAAAAAACTTTTGTATTTGTAAAAACAAAGTGTAATAAAGGGTAATATCTGATGGATATAATAATTTGTTAGTTGTAAAAACATTTTTGTTTTCTTTTATACTCATATTCTTCTTTCTTTTGAAGCAATTTATGTTGAAACTTTTTTCACTTATATTCCTACAGTTGAATACGGACATCCCGAATGTTTTTTGAGTTTTTTCTTGTAAGTTTTGAGAGAGAGAGAAAAAATGATTTTTTTTTCATAAAATTGAAAATAAAAATCTATAAAATCTATATTAGAAACTTTCGATAAATTAGTTTATAGAAAAATTTAGTTTGTAAATTATTATGGAAACATACTAGATATCTATTATGAAAGAGAAAATTAAGGTAGATGAAAATAAGTATGAGAAATAAAGTGAAAATTACCAATATTTAAATAAAAAATAAACATAAACAAAAATATCAAATATATGTGAAAATAATATTAAATTTCGTCATTTAAAAAAAAATCTTCTAAACATTTTAACTTATTTTCATCTGCCATTATTCTTTTTAATTCTTACACGCCACCATGTACATCATAAACATGAATTTTTTTCTCAAACTATCCAAATAAACATATACCAACATTAATTCTCAAACTAAACTCTCTTTTTTTCACACATTGAGAATTCTGTTAGAAAAGTTAAATTTTAGTGTTCTGATGACCAAATTCTCAACATATTAACTCCTGTGAAAAGAGAAAAAAATTAACCAACGGAATTCTAGTGGGAATTTTTAAAACAAAAAAGTATTTTTTGAAACTGAGAAAAGAAAGGAAGTGGACACTCTGCCGAATTATCAACGTAAAAGTAACCTATCTAATTTAGAAATGAGGGTGGAAATAAATTTATTTGGGTAAAAAATTTAAATGGATTTATTTTAGAAAAATAAAATCACACAAATATAGACATTTATTCGTACATGATGAATTGAAATGTTGGTATTTGAGGGATCCAAGTACAATTATTTTGGGCTTGGGGCTAATCTAGCTAGCCACAATCATGAATGTGTTGTGCCCATTTGGTGCAATTTGCAGAAAATGTTGTAGCAAATTTAATTTCAAATCATGAAAGCCATGTGTTCAAAATAGTGTTAATTTTACGCCTACTTTCACTTGGGGAGTCAGCAAAAATATTGGGGTGTAAAATTTTAAAAAAGTATATTTGTATATGATTTATTAATTTTTCAAAAAAATTCGAATATATATTTTGGAGAGATCCACTGCAGTAAAACCTCTTCTTTTACAAATATATTTAACTGTTAATATGTGTTAACTATGAAAATGGAACCCAAAATAAAAAATGAATAATTTTATCAATATATGAGATGAAACCAATTCCAACCCACAACACAACCTATCACTCTATGATTAGCATGTTGAAATGGAAAGTGTTCCCTTTTTCAATAGACTAATGATAGGTTCAGACGTCACATTCATTTAACCCTTATTATAAAAATAAAATAATCATTAAAAAAAGTTTTACCATTTAAAAATATAAAAAGTAAAAAATAATATCAAAAGAGTGTATAAAAATTTCATTAATCTTTTTCACTCATCACACAAAACTCCAAAGGAATCCCTTCTGTCTTCCAATAGCCACATCACTTTCTTCTTTAAATTAAACAACCTCGTTTGTCAAAAATAAAAGCATCTATCTTCTTTTATGCTACATCCTACCTAACCTTGTAATCAAAGTTTTATTCCTCTTTCCCTACTTTCCTTTTCTAATCATATCTATATTAAAAAGAAAATAAATTTAAATAATGATATGTTAATATAAATTATTATATGTATCATTTTTTAATATTTAAAATATATCAACACAATAACAAATAAAAAATAACACATATATTATATCAAAATATTATAAAAAATGTCAAAAAATATATTTTTAACTACTTATATTTCATCTTATACATCACCTATAAGAGTAAAAGTGTTAAAACTCTCACATCACATTAAATTTCAGGTTAAAATAACGAACAAGGTTTGAAACAAATAGTTATGAAGATTTCTATGAAAGTTCTATGGAGTTATTAGGAGTGAGTAACTTTGTTTAAATAAGAGCATTTGGCCCAGTTGACAAACAGATACATAAATTTCTGAAAAGTGTGGCATCTTCATGTTAACTCTGAGCCTTCAAACAAACAATCCTAGGTAGTTCCTATTATGACAAGGACAAACGCAACAACTCCAAGACTTCACCAATGTACATCTTGTTGGTAAATCTGAGCTTCCTATAATCTTCGTAAATAAAAGGTCGATATAAACGAGGATGATCGTGATTCACCAATTCCTCTGGGGCCTCAACATTCCTATTCCTTGGTGCCAACATAAACGTAGCAATCGAAAAACGTTTGGTGGCTTCCTTGCATTGGACACGGTGTATCAAATTGCAAAACCTTCCATTGCTCCACACCTGCATATGCATAACAATTGCATGCTCAACTTCATGCGTGATAAGGGTCAGAGCAGAGTCTATTTTCTGTTTGGTTGGTGTTATTAACATACACGAGCAATGTCTCCAAGATTGACTAAGAGAGTCCCAGGGAAAGGAGGGACTGGCACGAATAATGAAGCAGAAGGGTCCAACACTTCAAGACCACCAACTTTTTCATCATCTTGAAGAATGGTTAAGAAGCCTGAATCTATATGTGTTTCAACTCCAGTGGACCCTACCGCTTCTGGGGTGAAGTTATATTTGTTTATTCTAAACTCGCATGACCAATCCTTGAAATCGTCAACCACTATGCCCAGTGATTCAGCCATCTTTTCTCCTATCTTCACTGCCAAACCATGAATTGCCTCCCCATATCTCTCCATGATTTTCCTGTCAAAATCAATAATTCACGTTTCAAGAAAAAAGCCGATGTGAAATTCTCCCTACCAAAGATAACAGAATGTGCTTACTTTCAACATTAAACCTATCTCGATCTAAAGCAGTGAATAATAAAGAAAAAAGAAAGGAAGAAATGAAAGAAAAGTAACCTGTGTTGGGGAGAAGCGTGAAGTTGAGAGCAGAAATTGTGCATAGCTTGTGAAGAACCCAAATCATAGAGACAAAGGGACTCATAGAAAGGGTTGAATGCAATTGGAGCCATATAACCACTGCCTGCAATGACATCTGTGTTGCGTTTTTTGATCTCGAGAGGAAGATCAAGCAAAGCTTCATTCACTTTCTTCATCTCAGCCATGAGGGTTTCTGAAATAGAGTGGTTGAAGATCCTGAAACAACCCCATCTTTCACATGCTTCTCTTAGTTTCTTTAACTCTTCTTCCTCACAAATTTTCTCCATATCAATCACTACTGGGAACTTCTCCGCCATAGCTAGGGACAACACTTGCACACTTACACACATATATTTATATAGATATTTTTTGTTAATTTTTTTT